AAGAGACAGAAAGTGATTATTTTTATAAGCTTGGCGCATGTGGTCTATGTTGCATCAGCTACATTCTACCACCGCAGCAGGAAGACAGGCATAGATAGAGCATGGAACACAGCATGTGCCTGTGTTCCAGTAAAACTCTATTCGCAAAATAGGACATTTGTGTCGTGTTTTCACGGCCACCATTTTTTAATTCACCATGATTTTAATTCCCCTACCATTATCATACGCACTCTTAGCACTGCCAATGAAACAACTTCCCAGTCAATGCAGAGTAAAAGAATAAATGAATCAAGTTCGTTCTGTGTGCTGGGCATTGTGTGCACGTCTACCATTTTTTTTTTCCTCGCTGAAAATCTTGAAGGCAGATGTTATGTTGCTTAATAGCTAAGCAAAATAGAACTCAGGGCTACCTATTGATCCCTCGAAATACACATGGCTACTATATTGTGTGCTCAGGTTACTTTAAAACAATGCTGCAAACTATGGCTTGAAAACATGGAATTTTATTCTTTCACAATTGTGAGAGCTAAGACTACAACACCAAGTGGTTTAGCAGGGCAATGCTCTTTCTGGAGTCTCTAGGACTGACTCTGAGGCAGCTGCTTCTAGTTCCTGAGGGCTCCTGTCCTTTCTTGTTGTGTCTCTACCCCCTGCCACGGTTGTCTCTGGGCCTTCTTTCCTATGTGTGTGTCTCTGTCTCTGTCTTTTTTTTTTTTTTTTTAAACACAGCTTCCTTTTGCCTGAGTGACTGTGTTCTTGTCTTTTATAAGGACACCCAATCCTAAATGGCTTCCTTTAAGCTAATTCTGTGAGGAACCTGTCCTAAATAAGGTCACCATCTGAATTTGGGATGATTTGATTTTGAAGGCAATAATATTGACCACAGTTCTCAAATTGTGATGAGGGGCTAAGACTGACTTGTGTCAGTGATTTTCAGCTCTATAGTTAAAACCTCAGCTAATTGAATTAAATTAATAATGAACTTCAGTGTCCAATTTTAGAGTGGTTTTGAGAGATGATGATTTTTTTTTTAGAGTATCAATGGAAAGAATAGCTTCAGATAGTTTCACACTATTGTCCAAAACAGTGTTCTTCTTGCTCTCAAGGACATTTGATATGCGTCTTATAAGTTGATAGTTACAATTTTAATTTCTTTTTAGTAATACTGGTCAAACAAGGAGAAGTATATCAGACATTATAATTAAGGTATTTAGGTATCAGGTGGCAAGTCAAATTTTGCTCCAAACCTTGACTGAAGCATGTTTTCCCATCAGGAGACAGCATAGCTCTATGGCCCAATGCCTTTGGGAAATAGCTACCAACCACGTAAAGCAGATTTCTTTACTGCCATAAAAGATTATACCCTAGCACTTTTTGTATTTGTTAACGCAGCTTGTGAATTTCTGGGTGAGAGCTATTATGCACATTCCCCCAAGTCTGTTGAACGTGTTTCAGTAGAGTGCCTCCAGGAACCACCTAGCTGCACTGTGCACATTGGGGGCCACATAACTGAATTGTTTGCTTGCTAACCTAAGCACAGAGAAGTTCTGTTTTACTGCATGTAAAATTTTTTTAAAAGTCTATTCTTTTGTGATTTCAAATTTTGATTTGGTCCTCTCCACAATGGCTTAAAAAGAAACACCATTTGCTGGCACATGTAGATACACTGTCATTTATTCACTTACTAATTTCACACAGATGTATGTGGCCTGGTAAGGTAGCTATGAAAAGAAATATATTTGAGAAGCAGCTTTCCTTTTACTGATATTCAGATAATATAGGTCAGCAGTCAATTAATTCCCCAAGTAATTATGACAAATTGTTATGTAATGAATTATACTCCCTCCAAAATTTGTCATGCAGTTCCAACCTCCAGTTCTATTGAGTACTACTGCATATGGAGAGAAGAATCATTTAGTGTGTGTTTGTGTGTGTGTGTGTGTGTGTGTGTGTGTGTGTGTGTGTGTGTGTGTGTGCCCATGCTGGTTCTCTATTTGACCATGTTAGCCCTGTTAATCAAACTCAGGTAATCAGGCCTCGTGGTGAGTGCCTTTACCTGCTGAGCCATCTCACCAGCTCCCACAAGGTCTAAATTAAACAGGTAAATAAGGGTAAAAGAGTTTATAAACACCAAATCTTAATCTAGGAGAGGTGTTCTTGCCTGTGGAGGGACAGACACCAAGGACACACACATACAGCAGCTATAGTCAAGCCAAGGAGAGAGGTATCGGGAGAAATGAAGTCAGCTGACATCTTGATTTTGAATTTTCAGCTTTAAGAGCCTTCCAAATACAAAATGTTATTTTGTTATAGCAACCAAGATGAATTAAGGTACCATTATAGATTGTTAAATCCTTGCTGTCCACAGGTTTACTCAGCCAGTTCTCATCTTAACTCAGGCTTTATAAGTCCTTTGTTTATATTTTAGAAGAATTTTGGGAGAACCAACTTGGTTGTGAGCCTCCAAAGGGTGTGGTGGCCTTTGTCCCTAGCCTATTTGCATTTCCATGTTGACTCCTCAGAGTTAGACATCTGACAGGGTGACTGAGCTGTCTATACTGCTGCTCCTTCTGATGTCTGAATAAACCTAGAGGTAAACCTATTTTTTAAAGAGGGAAATTAAGGCAAAAATATACAAAGAGGTTATCACACAGATATAAACTACATGTGCCTTATTCAATACTCATCATCCGTTTTGAGCTAAGTATTTCTACTCCCATTCTCCACAGATGCAGAGATTGTTACTCAGCCACAGTCAGTCTGTCTTGGGTAGAGTCTGAATTCCAACCCAGGTTAGTTTCTTTTTCTTTTCTTTTCTTTTTTTAAATCTTCTTAAACATATGATGGGTGAAGAGAAGCAAGTATTTTTTTTTTTTATTGAAGTAAAGATGCTCATCAGAGTGTTCTATTAGCTGCTTAGAGAAAAGAGAAAATCTGGCTAGACTTATGAAAATCAGTAGAAAGCAGTGGACTACACTATTTCAGTGACAGCCTCTTAAGTGACACACACACTATATGTGTATGTGTGTGTGCGTGCCTGTGTGTGTGTTGTAAATAAACATGATTACAAAGCATTAATAAACACTTAAGAACCAAAGATTGCTCTTTGTTACTTGAAAAGTATGTTATGAGGAGGGGGGAGAGAAGGAGGCTGGTGGGGGGACTAAATGTTCCCAAAGTCAGAGAGCAAGAATGACCAGACACAGAAACAGTACTGTTGCACATTACTAGCTGGGTGAGCTGACTGTATTCACTCTGGAGACGTCTGAAGCTGCCATGGTCACTGTCTCCAATAATTCAAAGAGTTCTGGTTAGAGGGGAGATTTAATCTTAGGAAGCAAGCTAATACAGCACGTAGTGAGCATTTAATTAGTGAGAAAATTCAAATGTATGTGTCCACATGCAAATAACTGCACTTACAGGCAAAATCAAGTAAATCCTAAGGTCTTTAGAGTGGGGGATCATACATTCCTTCTGCTGCTACCCCACCTCTCCCTCCTCCTCCACATAGGCTTGGAGGAGGGACTTAGCACTAGCTTGCTTCTGGGGCTACAGAAAGACTTCCCCCAGGAGAGTAGCCCATCAGGGCTTTCATTATCATTGCTATGAGATTCTTACTGGGAAATGGCTCACTTTGAGCCCTTCTCTCTATTGATTCTTCTATAATTGCATTAACAAAATTCAGTCTCCAGGTTTCAAAGCAGATACCATTACCTATTCTGAAAGAATTGTCTATTAATTTTTGCCTTTATCAGCAAGAGAAGCTCCTCCTTAATGCCCATCACTGCACCAGGCATTGAGAAGAGGCTTCTAAATACAATAGGATATGGGTGGGTGTTTTTCTTATCCTGGCATCAGTGTTGCTGGAGAAGTACCCACGGAGGCTGGGAAGTGAGTACACGATGATAGCGAACATCACTGGAGGAATTAGAGTAGATAATCCATTTACAAGCGCCAGCGAAGTGCAGTTATGCGGTCTGATGGGGCTACCCAGTGCCCCAAATGGCAAATTAAAGAGTTACTGTGTGGTGGGGCGTCTTGAAGGCAAAATGAGGATACATAGCAGGGCAATTCTAGAGAGAACCCGTCAAGAAATAGAGTGCATTGAAGAATACAATGACAATTCAGGTTGTTGGATGTGTGTATGTTGTGTATGTGTGTGTGTGTGTGTGTGTGTGTGTGTGTGTGTGCAACAAAATTATCTAGAAAACCCGCACACTACTGTGGCTGTGCACACTTGACGAGCAAAGCAGAACGACATGGTGGCAGGAAGGGGGAAAAATAGATCTAGAGGGTGTTCCATCTTGCTGTTCCAAACACTATGGGTGCTCAAATAGCATCAGTGATGAAGACTGTAGCGGGGATGAAGATGATTAATGTAACCCATGGGAAAATAGGGCTGAGAAGGATAACATGGACCAGGACCTGGAAAGGGAGGATGACTCAGGGTGAGGGGTACCTGGGGAGAGAGCAGCGGAGTATGCACGTCGGCGAGCGTGGTGGTGGGGGTGGGAAGCGGCCAGGGCACGCATGGCTCGGACCCGGGGAGTGGGTGGGTGGTGCCCGTGGGCGGAGCGGCTCCGGGACTGAGTGGCTGGCAGCTTATGTCTGCGAGAGCAGCAGCATCACCCGGGAGCGAAGCTCCGAGACTCCGCCTAACTGACACCCAAACTCTCCCTCTCCCTCCTGCAGCCCCAAACTGGAGGCAGCGGAGCCCGCGAGCGAGCAGCGTCGGGCGGCCCCGGCCCGGCCCCGCCCCCGGCCCGCCAGCCCAGCCCGCGCCTGGCTGCGCTCGGGAGCCCAGCGCCAGCCCTCGCCCCCTCGCCGCCGCGCCTCCGCCTGCCCGCCCCCGCCGGCCGAGGCTGGGCTGCGGGAGGCGGCCAGGCGGCCCCGAGCCTCGCCAGGGCGACCCAAACAAAGGCAGCATCCGGGCTCGGCGGGAGGCAAAGCATCATGAGAGACTGGGTCCTCGCAGTCCCCGGCTCCGCTGCTGCCGCTGCCGCCGCCGCCGCCGCCGCCGGGAGGGCTTCGCTGTGAGCTTGGGAAGCCGGGGCGCAGCTGCGGGGCGTGAATCCGAAAGGTGAGAGCGACAGCCAGCGAGCCAGCCGAGGGGGCGGGCAGGCCACGAAAATGTCCTCGGCCGTGGGGCCCCGCGGTCCTCGCCCACCCACGGTGCCTCCCCCTATGCAAGAACTGCCCGACCTGAGCCACCTGACCGAGGAGGAGAGGAACATCATCATGGCAGTGATGGACCGGCAGAAGGAAGAGGAGGAAAAAGAAGAGGCCATGCTCAAGTAAGCGCTCCCCTCCACCCTGCCCCCCCCCCGCCCCGGTAAGGCGCGCCATCCATCCCTCGGTGGTGGTGCCTCCATCCAACCATTCACCACTCACTTACCAGGCACCAGGTCCTCTGGGCTGGGTATGGGGGAGGGGCTGGCAAGGGTGCAGGGTCGCGGGCAGAGGGGCAGAGGTGCCCACCTTGGGGCTAGGGGCCCCTGGCTTGAGCAGGGTAGAGATGTGGGAGGAGTCCCGAGGAAGGAGAGGACCCTATAGAGCCAGGGAACCTAAGAGCCCAAGAGGATGGCTTGGGAGAGAGTGCCTAGGAGGACTAGGTGTACAGGGCGAGATGTGCAGAGCTGAGGAAAGCTGATCCCACCCAAAGGGAAGGACCCTGGGCGGAGGTCAGATTAGGAACTAGGCGATGAGTAGAGAAAAGGGTGGTGGTGGAGGTGCTGAGGTGCGGAGGGCAAGCTCCTCTTTGGAGTTGTTGAGCAGATCTGAGTTACAACAGTTAAGGGTGCTGGCATTTATATAATAATAAAATAATGCTTATTTTTAGTGTTCGTTTTGGTACTCATTCACTTACAGTGCAAGGTTGGGTCTTTTTGGGGCAGTTGCCATCTTTGGTAACCTGGCTCCCTGCCCCTCTTTAACCTGTCATTCCTAGTCTTCTACACAAGAAGAACTGTATGAAGGCACATTTTCTTGTCCATATGTGATGCCATTGGCAGCACAAAGTTTCTGATAATGACAGGGGCTGACTGACGACTCTGGCCTGAATAAAATAGAGGTTCTTCATTTTTGGCTTCCAAGAGACCTCTGGGGCCTTCTCAGTTCCCGAGGGAAGCAGACAGGGATTGAGTATCTGTACACCCCTGCAGTTAGAATCTATCCACCTTTCAGGGACCTCTGCCCGGTGCCCCCTTTTCTTGGGGATGGGGAGAGGTTAGGGTTGGTTGTTAGTGGTGCAGGAGTGTGTGACACAGTGCTGCTGCTGTTGGCTTCAGAACTGCTTGCAAGTACTGCCATCCAAGCTGAGCTGTGCTTGCTTCTCAGCCTCCCCCAAGGAGTGACGCTAAAGGAGATTGCAACTCTGACTTCCCTTGGGAAGTCCTCATAATTTCAGTAAAGTTGTCCTCTCTGGGGTGGAGGTATGTAGATCCCCTGATTGGTACCCATGTCTTGGTATCCCCTGCTGATGCAGAAGGTGTATTTGGGACAGGCGGCTGGCATGAAGAGCCAAAGGGAACCTGTTGCATCTGGAGTTAGCTGGTTGCAAGGAAGTGTAGAGAGGGAGCAGGGGGTGACATCAGGGCACAGAGCACACCCAGCTTGGCCTTCCTCACACTCCCTAGAATTGCCTACTTTAGGGAAGGTGCTGTCTGGGAAGGTGTTGCCTTCCCTTCTGTGCAGCAGAGCCACACAGGAGAAAAGGAGAGACTGCATTCAGACTATGAGTCCCCCAAGCAAAAGCAACTGCAAGCTACAGTAGGGAAGGAGAGATGTGGGTGTCCGGCCACAGCAAAATAGTGGATATCCAGTCATTCTTCCTGTTTTATTATAGACTCTGGGAAGATGAAAGGCCATTAACTTAGAAGGCCAGGGCTGGCCTGGCTCTATAAGAGCAGCAGGTTTCTGAATTCCCTGCTCCTTCTCATCCAAAAAAACAAATACTTTAAGCCTGACAGCTTGAGGGAGGCAGAACCCTCGTTAATCTGCTTCCTCTCCCTAGTGGAAGAATGAGGTCCCTGGTGCTGCAGCCTTCCCCTCTTCTGAGCCTGGAAGTAATAGATGGTGTCTAATGGTGCTGCTGTCTGTCTGTGTGGTTGTTAGTCCATCTGTCCTCACTGCTGCAGCCCCTGCCACCTGTCCTGAATGCTGCCCTGTTGCCCAAACATTTGCAGATTTGCTGCTGTTTTCTTTTGGTGCTTGCTGCCGATAGCAGGTAGATGGAGGCCTCCAGCAGCTAGTGATAAATATGGGCTGCTGCCTGACAGAGTCCACATAGGAAAGGGAGGCAAGTGCAAGTGGTGGCCATAATGCCTCTTCACTGGCTGCTGGAAGCATTGTGGAGAGTGATGGACTCTAAATGGAGTGGAAGAGTTCTAGGACAGAATTGCAACCCCGCTAACTACCTAGGGCCTTAATACTGTATAGGTTTACATGCACAAATGGAAATTAAAATCTCTGCCCAACTGTCCATGCCTAACATATCCTCCCCTTCCACGGGCTCACAAATATTATGGCACGATTTCACATAGTGTTGCAGCTTGTAAAGCTGTTACACAACAGCTCCCGATAATCCCGGACTTCTGCATTCCCTTGATCAATCAGCCTCCCCTGCTAATGTCATGGCCTTTTGTGTAGTGGTGGGTTTGTGAGTGTTTTGCAATGCTGCTGTGTTTCCATGTAAGCCTGTCACGGTGTGTGCAGCTAGTGAGAGAGTTCTACATTCTCTCTGTCTCTCTCTCTTTTCCTAGAAGGAACTTTGTGTCTTAGAAACTAGGAATCAAAAAAGCCATTCAGATGACACATATATAAGGGACACTTCATGGGCAGTGGCCTCTTTTAAACATGCCAAGAAGAATGACCAGAGCCTGGGATGCTTTTCACAGGCCTTTGGAACACTTGCTGAAAGAGAAAAAGAGTGTTGTGGCAATACTTCATCCAGCACATCACATATCTGAAAAACTACTTTCACGAAAGACCCAAGCAGAACTAAAGTTCTGGGGGACAGATAAATTAGATTTAAATTTTACTTTTGGGATCAGTGCAGGACCATCACCCTGCATTGCTTACTGTGTGTTAGCGCTGCTTCTTCACAAGGTATAACAGCAAACATTCACAGAGAGAATGAGCAAATGGATGGGTATTGTAAAGCCATCTTACAAAATACAAACTAGAATATATTTGTGTAGTTAGTCTTGATTGAAATTACTGCTTTAATTTAGATTTCATGATGACATTAAATAGGTATACATAGAAAAAGAATCAATTTACTTCTTTACCCTCAAGAATTTAAAAATGTTGCCTGAAGTTACTAGGAAGTACTTCATCAATATGATCATTTTATTTTGTAAAATTTTTAAATTTTAAGTAATAGTGCTTTATAGCTAGAAAAAGTTGGCCCTGGGAAATTTTATTTCATGATTGATGTGTTTGTAAAACAGAGTTCTTAATTTTTGGCCTCGCTATCTCTGTCTCTTCCCTCGACCCCCCCCCCTCTCTCTCTCTCTCTCTCTGTGTGTGTGTGTGTGTGTGTGTGTGTGTGTGTGTTCTGGAACCTTTTTGAAACCTCGCTTTCTCAATGAATACTTCTTAAAGTACTTGTCACTAGGCATCATGGGCCAATATATTATATAGATGGAAAACTGTGTTATCTGGTACCTAAATCAGAGAAGATCTCATTATAGGTAAAATCTTATCCCTTCTCTCAAATAAAAGCTTCCAAGAGAAATGAGCTTCAGAAGAGGAAGAAAAGAGAAAAAAGAAATTGAAGTAGAGATAAGGGGATGATTCAATGATGTAAATTAAAAAACCATATTGAAATGGTTGCTGAAATTGACTAATATTTATTGTATGCCAGCCATTACTCTAATTGGTGCGATATCACACAGGTGCACTGTGCTGGCTTACAACGTGGGCTTGAATCCTCCCAGCATCCTCTGCAGAAGATATGCCAGGTGTCACGAATCTCAACGCCTAACCCTGTCCTCAGGGGTTCACTGATAATCAGTAAAGTGATTTACATACATGGCTCAACCAGGGTTCAAAATCAGACTTTTCACAACAAATGCAGCTGCTTCCCCGGGCACAACCAAAAGAGAAGACTCTAAAATTCATTTTTTTTCCTTACTTAAATTCTGGTCTTTCTTGCAATTCCGAGACGTGGTTTGACAGTATAAGCTGACTTAGAACATCAGCTGCTGGTCCTAATGAAGCAGGATTGGCTTAAGCTGCAAAACCTTTCTGGGGATTGAAGGGAGGGGAACTGCCTCCAATACAAAGGTGATGGAAGACGTCATAGTACAGCAGAAATCCCTTTTTAAAAACAAAATTAAAAAAAAAAATTCTAGTTCAATTTCTAGTTCTTCCACGTACCGTGGGAATATGGGTTAGAAAACTGTTAGAACTTTATGTGGTTCAATACTTCCCAAGATATGACTTGGTCTACAAAGATGACTTTGAGCATCCCTGCCTTCTTCTTACTGGGGATTGGGACTTCATTTTTGTCAATATAATCTGCTTGGGGAGAAGAGATGAAGTAGAAGTTGCTATTACACTACATTTTACTGCTCTTCCTCCGTATGCACACGTGTGTTGTGTTTTATTAAAAAATTGAATGGACTAGTTTTGAGAAAGGAGGAAAAGAATGAGATGTAGATTAGGGAGATTGGTGGTAGTGATAATGTAGGTCTATTACTATTGACAAAATTTTCACGTTATACCCAACCATACTGTATCCTATATTCAAAGCAGGGGTGGATGAGAAAAAAAGGGGAAAGAATGATTAGTGAAGTGGCTGGAACCTGAGCATCAGAATCCAAGATGTGCTATTAGGAGCAAGCACATTTGGTGGGTCACATCAGTCCCACTCCATACTGTAGGTAAGTGGGTTTAGACCCCGGGAAGGCTAACCCTGAACTCTATAGGGATATTTTTTTTTCACTTTCAAAAAATGTGTCTTACCAAATGTACACACACACCATGAGTTTCCCAAATGTACACGGAAATATATATATATATATATATATATATATATATATATATAGAGAGAGAGAGAGAGAGAGAGAGAGAGTAAAGAGAAGTTTTAAAAAATGAAAGAAATGAGGTAATGTAAAAAATAATAGAAAGATACAAAACCATTGGTTTTTAGTTGATCTGTGGTGATTTATTTTGGTATTGTGTATGTTCTTTCTTAATGGAACACTACCATTTATGTATTTACATGACCAAATTTATGGTACTCTGTGGTATGCAAATCAGTATAATCATTGGGCTCCTGCCAACCTGA